AAAGCAAAGAAAACTTAAAATACTGACGAAGATTAAAGACCACAGCCTTCTGTATGGGTAGCACCTCAACATAAAGGAAACAAAAATCCTCACCACTGGACCATTTAACAATATCCATGTAAATGCACAAAAGTTTGAAGTTGTCAAACACTTCATTTTGCTCAAAACAACCATCAACACTCTTGGAAGCAGCAGTCAAGAAATCAAACAAATCTGCTGCCCAATACCTGTTTAAAGTGTTGAAGAGCAAAGATGTCAGCTTGAGGACTAAGGGGCACCTGACCCAAGCCGTGGTATTTTTAATAACCTTATATGCATGCAAAAGTTGGACGATGAATAAGGAAGACCACAGAAGAATTGACATAATTGCGCTATTATGTTGGAGGAGAATATTAAAAGTAACATGGACTGCCAAAAGAGCAAATCAATCTGTGTTGGAAGAAGTATAGCCAGAATACTCCCTGGAAACCAAGATGGTCAGATTTCATCTCTCATACTTTGGACATATTGTCAGAAGGGACCAATCCCTGGTAAAGGACTTCAGGCATAAGAGAAAAAGAGGAAGACCCCCAATAACATGGATTGGGACTGTAGCAGTAGCGATGGCTTCAAATGTAGCAATGATTGTGAGGTTGGCTCAGGACCAGACAATGTTTTGTTCCATTGTGCATAGGGTTGCTATGAGTTGGTACCAACTCAATGGCACCTAACAACAACACCTCATTTGGAGTGGTACTGGAGGATAAGCACTGGACTGCTAATCACAAGGTTAAATCCACCAGCCACTCCTTGGAAACTCTTCCTAGGGGTCACTATTTATCAGAACTGACGCAATTACACTTAACAACAAGCCCCATTTTCAAAACCATTTGTATGCTCAAGCCTCTTGCTGTGGCCACCATGTTTTTTGAGTGCTTTTCACACCGGGAAGCTCACCTTCTAGCACCATGTCAGCCAATAATCTGTCATTATCCACAGGATTTTCATTGGCTAATTTTAAGAAGTGGATTGTCAGGGCTCTCTTCTTAGTCTGGAAGCTCTGCTGAAACCTGTCCTCCATGTATAACCCTACTGAAATTTAAAATGCTAGCAACTTAGCTTTCAGCATCATAACAATACCCAAACAACTGCAGTACAATAAACAACAGACAAGTGTTGGCCTAAACCATTAGCGGTCTCCATTTATACTTCTTTTTTTTAATAGTGAACCAAGTGATAGTTTACATGAGATAACATCAGCTTTATAACATCATTTCATTGAAATGATTATAGTCTCTGTGCGTCATCATTCAACAGTATTTACTTCCATTCCCTCTGTTTTGTTTTGTTTTTTGTTTTTTTTTTTTGGGGGGGGGGGTACACAAAATCACTCAGGAGTATATAATCATTTTAACAGCCAAAGGACACATTCTGCAAGCCTGCCTCCTGGTCTCCAGCACCCAATCCCTCTCTTTCCATGAGTCCAGAGTCCTCAGCTGCTCCCTCTCTCCATGGTCTAATCCCTGCCTCCATCTCTGGTGTCACTGCTTCTCTGGATAGGGTCCCACATTCCACTTGAGCCCTTCTCCCTTGATAGTCCTAGAGTCCTTGTTTCTGGGCTGTAAGATTAACTACTCCCCCATTTTTGTTTGTTCCTTTACAATTGTGACAGTTGCAATTAGTCATGATAACAATTACTATTGAATCATAAAAATCTTATCACCTTCTCTTTTCACCAGACCCGTCTAGACAAGATGAAAACTATTCAGTGGGGGCTCTAATTTCCCCCGCACACTCTTAAACTAAACTCCCTCTTGAAAATTTGTAAGCCAGTCACCTCGTGCCTTTATCACCCCCTCATTTTAGGTGGTGGTGGTGGTTATGTTCCGTGGAGTCAGTTCTGACTCATAGTGACCCTGCACAGGGTTTCTGAGGCTATAACTCTTTACAGGAGCAGAAAACCTCATCTTTTTCCCACAGAACAGCTGGTAGTTTCAAACTGCTGACCTTGTGCTTCACAGCCCAATTTGTAACCACTGTGCTACCACAGCTCCTTGTCTAAGTAGCAAATGTTTAAGTTGCCCATCCCTGTCTACCCTGTATACAGAGGGGATAGCATTGATATTTGATGGGAAGACTACGTCCCTCTCAGTTGGTGTTTTAAGCTACTACATCCATAAGTGTAGGTCAAGTTCATCAAATTATAGCAATTTACACTCGTTTCCTTTATCAAAAATTGTTTTTTGTGGTTTTTTTTAAATCTTCCTCTAGTCAAGTTCTGATTATCAAGCCATCGAAGCAAGTTCAAATGGGTACTATCTTCAAGTTTGGACATTCTTGTATGTCTCATCCCTTCATATCAGCTGGATGCTTCACTGTCAGCTCTAGCCCTCTGTGGCTATGTCCTCGTTCATGGGCTCAGGAGACCCCAGATCTCACCACACTTCGGACCAACCAGCCCTTCCTCTTATCTCTCTCTCATCTCCAGGCCAACAGGAGTCTATGGAACATGGTAGATCAGCCCCTTTCTTCATTGCTGCCTTTCCCCCTCTTCCACTCACCAGTAGACCAGTGGGGTCACCAGCAAGCTTATGTGCCTGCTCATGTGTTCCCTTTGAGTTTCAGTCTTGGAGGGGGCCCAGTTATACTTATTTTTTAATCTGGCTCAACATCATTACCTGTCATTTTATTTTCTTGCCTATATTGTACGTGCTGTTGCCCCTGATTTGTTATCACATCCATCTCAGTACCAACCATTTGCTTTCTCAGTTCCTGCCCCTAAGCACAAATGTATATTGCTTTCAGGTCACACACTAGGGAAGATTGCTCCTACCTTTTGAGATGAGCAATCTTTTATGTTTTGCAGGGAGCCACACTCTCTTCAACTTCTTCACTTCATTTTTCAATTTCTAACTTTTCATCATACTTACTCAATCAGTATTCTTTTGCCATACTTATTCAATCTGTATGCTAAGCATATAATTTGAGACACTGGATTATATTAAAAAGAACAGACATCGGGATAGGAGAAAGACTCATTAACAATTTACAATATGCAGATGGTACCATCTTGCTTGCTGGAAGTGAAAGAACTTAAAATATTTACTGATGAGGATCAAAGACCACAGCTTTCAGTTTGGATTGAACCTCAGTGTAAAGAAAACACAAATCCTTACAACTAGACCAATGAATAACATCCTGATGGAGGAAAGATTGAAGTTGTCAAAGATTTCATTCTGCTTAGATTTACAGTTAACACTCATGGAAGGAGCAGTGAAGAAATAAAGTGATGTATTGCATTATATAAATCTGCTGCAGAAAAACTTCTGTAAAATATTCAGTAACAAAGATGTCAGTTGGAGAAATAAGGTGTGTCCGACCCAAGCCATGGTATGTTCAGTAGCTTCATATGCATGTGACAATTGGACAGTGAATAAGGAAGACCACAGAAAAATTGATGCATTTGAATTATGGTGTTGGAGAAGAATATTAAAACTCTCATGGACTCCAGATGACCAAACAAATCTGTGCTGGAGGAAGTGCAGCAAGAATGCTCCTTGGAAACCAGGATGGAGAGACTTCATCTCCCACACTTAGGACATGTTAAGATGGACCAGTCCCTGGAGAAGTACATCATGCTTGGTAGAGTAGAGGGTCAGTGAAAAAGAGGAAGCTCTCCAATGAGATGTGTTGACACAGTGACAGCAGCAATGGACTCAAATGTAATAAATGTGAGGATGGCGCAGTACCAAGCAGGGTTTCATTCTGGTGTTCATAGGATCGCTAAGAGTTGGAACCTACTTGACAGTACCTAACAACAACAACAACAGCTTTTCACAAATGAGAAATAACTTCAGTTTATAACAAATCGTCTCAATTCCTAATAACTATAACATAATAATAATCACCACAATAAGGTCCCTGCATGACACATACAGCTTACACTTGACTACTAATCCAAAAGTTGGCAGTTCGGACCTGTCCCAGCAGTGCTGCAGAAGAAAGGCTTGGCAATCTGGTTGTGTTAAGATTTCAACCAAGAAAACCCTGTAGAACTCAGTTCTACTCTGTAACATATGGGGTCACCATGAGTTAGGATTGACTTGTTGGCAGCTGGTTTGTTTGTTAACCACAGCAATTCACAGTTATTGAAGACTTATTTTTATGCTATTTAGTTGATTACAACATGATACTATAGGACAAAGTAGAACTGTCCTATAGGGTTTCTTAGGCTGTAATCTTTACATGAGCAAGTTGCCAGGTCTTTTCTCCCATGGTTCCTATAATGAGTTCAAACCTCTGACCTTCAGTTAACAGTGGAACACTTAACCTTTGCACTACAAGGGCTCCTTTACTAACCTATAGTCAGCACTATATATACTGTGGTACAATCATTATTTGGACACCTATTGATCATTCTTTCTATAGGTTTTCAGGGATAGTGATACCATTAACTCTTCCTACTTATTTTTTCCATGCCGTATTTTTGCCACCTGAACCCCTGTCAGGAGTCAGGGGTTCAGTTTTTACTGGCATGGAGATTTTCAGAACAAAGTTGATAAAACCTTTACCGTTGTATTTTAATGAGCTATCTTACAGTTCATTAAAATACAAAGGTAAATGTTCTATCTTTACTGGAAGACCCCCAACGAGAGATGGATTGGCACAGTGGCAGCAGATGGGCTCAGGCATAACAACAATTGTGAAGTTGGCCCAGGACCAGGCAGTTTTCATTCTGTTGTGCATAGGATCGCTATAGGATGGTAACAACTCAATGACACCTAACAACAACAACAACATCTTACAGCTCACGCTCTTATGAGTAGATTTATGCAAACTACATCTAGCAAGTAATGAATTTCTTTTGATAAATATTTTTTAAATCCTTAATCTAAGGATATTCTTAGGAAAATAGTCATGATTTGTTACTTTGCACACTTCTAAAAGCTAACCTAGCTTTAGTGGTTTAGACAATGTCATCTAATTACTCTTTTAAAGTTTCCTTCCAATTTTTATTTCAGCTCCGGGGTGCTGCTCTGCTCGTTACAACTTAGCAGTGTTGGCCTGTTTCGGTTTCTTCATTGTCTATGCATTGCGTGTGAACCTGAGCGTTGCATTAGTGGATATGATAGATTCGAATACAACTTTAGTAGAGAACAGTACTTCCAATGAATGTCCAGAACATTCTGTTACCCCAAACCCTCTTCATAATCAAACGGTAGGTGCTAATTGTTTTAAGCAAGCATTCTTACAAATATTTCAGCAAGCATTCTTAAATATTTCCAAGTAAAAATTTGGGAAGATGTCTCTTTATACCATAGAAACCATGATTACTTTCTCCTTAATTATTCTGAATCATTTTGTGTTTTTCCAGAAACTGGTTGGATAATCACATGACTACAGCTATTGCTGCTGTGTTATATTCTATTCTGGTTGTTTGGAAAGCAGTTCTTCAATTCCCTGTATAAACATAACATCTTGGAGCAGAATTTGGGAAAACCTGCGTGGCGTAATAAATTAGATTTTTTATATGTTGCCTAATAGTTTTTACAGGACTATTATTTAACAGTTGTTTCACTTACAGGGTTACAGTGCAAGAACTCTTAGATAGTCTGAGCTGTAGAATGGGAAAATAAGAACTGGTCAATTTTTTAGGATATTTTTTCCAAAATTTCCAAATGTGTTGGTGGTACAGTTAAATACTTGGCTGCTAACTGAAAGGTTGACATTTCAGATCTTCCCAGCAGATTCATAGGAGTTAAAACATGGCTCTCTGCTTCAGTAAAGATTACAGCCAAGAAATTTTTATGGGACAGTTCTACTTTGTCACATGAGTCCTGTAAGTCAGAATCAACTTGGTGGCACCTAACAACCACCACCAAAGCGACTTCACTCATTTTTCCTATGCTTTGTTATAGTGGAAGTGATAACTCTGTTCATTTATTTATTTTAAATGTTTTATTGTGAATTATGTGATAGTTTACATGGGAGAACATTACTTTTACATTCATCCTATCATATGTCATTTCATTGCCATGGTTACAATCCCCTCCATGCATCATAACCAAAGGTGTTCATTTATTTTGAATAAAAAATAAGCATTGAATTTTCACATTTTAAATATTTCATTTTGCTTATCACTCAAGAAAGACAGTGAAGGTAGATAAAGCTGCTGGTGCCTTTTTATAGATATACTCATATCTCCATCCATTTTCAGTGATTACAAAAGAGCCAGATCCTACTTAAAATGAGTCTCCTCTGTCATTGACTAGCAGGGGCTCTTATGTAGGGAAGAGAATTTTTCCCAAAATAAGCGTGTTGTTCTTAGGTTTCATCAAGTCAATTTCTATGTGAAATAGACCAAAGCACTGCCCAGTCTTGTGCCAGCCTCACAATTGTTGACAAGTTTTAGTCCATTGTTACAGCCACTGTGCCCGTCTATCATTTGAAAAGAAGGTCTTTCTCTTTTTTGCTGACCCTCTATTTTTTTCCAGGTACTGGTCCTTCCTAATAACATGTTCAAAATATCTGAAACAAAGTCTCACCATCCTTAATTCTAAAGAGCTTTCTAATGAACTTATTCCAAGACAGATTTGTTCGTTCTTCTGGCAGTCCATGATATATTCATTTTTCTTATCTCTCATGATAATTCAAAGGCATCATTTTTTAATTTTGTTTTTTAAAGAACAAACATTTATTTTCTCAGACTTCTGGAGGCTTAAAGTCCAAATCAGTGTCTTGACTTTATCAGTTCCTTCTGTGGGCCTTTCTTCTGGTTTCTGGTGCCTGCCTGAAATCTTTGACCTTCCTTTGTTTGTAGACAGGTCCTCATGTGTCTGTTTTGCCCCTGTGCGTGTTTATTCTGATCACTTTATAAGATGCCATTCAAAAGTGATTTAGGTTTCGTTGTTGTTGTTAGCTGCCATCAAGTCGATACCAACTCATAACAACCCTATGTACAACAGAACGAAACACTGCCCGGTCCTGGGCCAACCTCACTACTGTTGCCACACTTGAGTTCATAGATGCTGCCACTTTGCCAATCCATCTCGCTGGGGTCTTCCTCTTTTTCTCTGACCCTCCACCTTACCAAATATGATATCCTTCTCTAGTGACTGATCCCTTCTGACAATATGTCTGAAGTATGAGAAATGAAGCTTGGGTTTAGCACCCACCAAACTCAGGAATGAGTTCATTAGCAAAAGAAAACCCCTCTTTCCAAACAAGGTCATATTTATAGATATCAGAATTCAGAGTTCTTTTTTATTTTGAGGCAGGATATGATTTAATCCATTACACATTTTGTTAATTTTTTTCACAGTCTCTTGGGAATTATGAAGAAAAACATGCTCTATTCTGACACTTGTTCGTTTCTCCCATATGAGTAGATTTTTCATGGCAGAGTAGTTTATAAGTTGTAGAATACTATTTAGAAGTGAGATGAAATAATAGACAGAAAATTCTTCGTGTTTAACATAAACTACACATATTCCAAATACTTGGGCATTGTTGAGATTCATGTTGGGCCACTAAGCACAAGGTCAGCAGTTTAAAAGCACCAGCCATTCCTTGGGAGAAAGATTAGACTGTTTGCTCCTGTAAAGATTTTCAGTCTCAGAAACCCTATGTCGTCATTGTTGTTAAGTGCCATCAAGTCGGTTGCGACCCATAGCGACCCTGTATAGGGTTTCCAACGAGTGGCTGCCAACCTTGAGGTTCAAACCAACTTTGCAGTCCAGCACATTAGACTAGAGTGCTCCCAGAACTCCCAGAAACACGATAGGGCCGTTATAAATCAGAATTGACTCAATGGAAGTAAATGAAAATGCTTTTACTAATATACATGTGACTGTGAGATTATTAAAATAATGTAGAATTATAAAGATCTTTGTGGTTGGTGTTAAGTGCCTTCAAGTCAGTTCCAACTCATTAAGACGGTGTGTAGGATTTCCAGGGAGCAGATGATAGGTTTGAACCACCAACCTTGAAATTAACAGTCCAGTGCTTAGCCTATAGCACCACATCGGGACTCTACTGTTTGTTGTATTGTCAAGTTTCATAAGTCAATTCCAACTCATAGCAGCCCTGTATATGGTTTCCATAGAGCAATTGGTGGGTTTCAGCTGCAGACCTTGTGGTTATCAGTAAATGTGTTAAGTCTTCATCACTTTCAGCAGGCAAAGTTGTATCACCTGCATATTGCAGATAGTTCATCTTCCTTCAGTCCTGAAGCCACGTTCTTCTTCATATAATCCAGCTTCTTGGATTATGTGCTCTTCATACAGATTGAATAAGTATAGTGAAAGAATATGACCCTGGTGCACACCTTTTCTAATTATAAACCATTCCATGTCTCCTCGTGTTCGAATGACTGCCTCTCAGTCTATATTACAGTTTCCACGTCAGCACAATTAAAAGTTTTGGAGCACTCCTTTTCCAAAATGTTGTCCATAGTTTGTCATAATCCACACAATCAAAAGCCTTTGCATATTCAATAAAACACAGGTAAACATCTTTCTGGTATTCTATGCTTTCAAACTAAGATCGATCTGACATTAGCAATGATATCCCTCATTCCATGTCCTGGTCTAAGTCCAGCTTGAACCTCTGACAGTTCCCTGCCGATGTACTGTTGCAGCTGTTTTTTATCTTCAACAATATTTTATTTGCATGTGATATTAATGCTGTTGTTAGATGATTTCCACATTCTGTTGAGCAGCTCTCTTTGGAATGAAAACAAATATTGATCTCTTCCAATCAGTTGGCCAGGTAGTTGTTTTCCAAATTTCTTAGCATAGATGAGTGAGTGCCTCCAATCCTGCATCAGTTTGTTGAAAGATTTCAATTTGTATTCCATCAGTTGCTGGAGCCTTGTGTTTTGCCAGTGCCTTTAGAGCATCTTGCATTTTTTCCTTCACTACCATCTGTTCTTGATCGTAGTACCCTACTATGTGTTACAACTGGAGTTCTGGTGTGGCTGTGCTGAACTGCAAAGTCTGTTTGAACCACAAGGTCGGTGCAGCAATTCAAGTTCACCAGTGCTTCTTGGAAACCCTTTATAGGGTTGCCATGAGTCAGAACTGACTCAACAACACTAAACAACAACAACATTTGTTACAACTAAGTAAAAGACCGCTCCCATTCACATGTAGTTTATGGCTTGCTTTAAATTCTTACTCCTTTGTATTGTTCCATATGCTTTTTAAACTGCTTTGTCTGAAATGGAGTGATGTTAATCACCTATACATGGAGTCCTGGTGTGGTGCTGTAAGATAAGCACTGCACTGAAAGGTCGGTTTGAACTGCAAGGTAGATGGTTCAAATTCACTAGCTGCTCCTCAGAAACCGTTCACAAGGGTCACTTTGAGTCACAACCAACTTGATGACACTTAGAAACACATGTGTACATACTAAGTGGTTACGAATCGGGCTGCAAACTTCAGGGTCAGCAGTTTGAAACTACCAGCTGTTCCGCGGGAGAAAGATGAGGCTTTCTGCTCCCGGAAACCCTGTATAGGATCGCTATGAGTCAGAACCAACTCCACGGCACATAACAACAATAGTCAACAGTAAGTGAACACTTACTCAGGCTTTATTTTATGTGATTTTTTTCATTTAATCTTCCAAGATCATTACTCGAGTAAGTGGCTGCACCAGGCTTAAACTCTGTTTAATACCTTTCTGAATTAAGCCTCTCTTTTTTGAGCCTTCTTGGTCATGGTTATTACAAATCCTGTACTATTTATCCTTTCATCTAGTTTCAAAAACAACAAATTGTGATGTTTATGACTTCCAGTTCTATTCCATTCATGTCTGTATTCTAGTGATTGGTCCATTTTCTAAAAAGTGTACATGTTCTTCAGTGTAAAATAATGATTCAAAATTGTATTTACATACTAATGAGAGAAAGGAGTTGTTAAATCAATATCTTAAAGGGTTGTGTTTTTTCTTTTGTTTTTCTCTTCTTTTAGGGTAAACAGTATCACTGGGATGCAGAAACTCAAGGATGGATTCTTGGTTCATTTTTCTATGGCTACATCATCACACAAATTCCTGGAGGATATCTTGCCCGCAAAGTCGGGGGTAAACTGCTACTAGGATTTGGGATCCTTGGCACTGCTGTCTTCACTCTGTTTACCCCCCTGGCTGCAGATTTAGGAGTTGGATATCTCATTGCAGTCAGAACACTAGAAGGGCTAGGAGAGGTAATTTTTTTCTCTCTCTCTTACTCTTTTGTTTTATATCTTATCCTAGATCTCTTTTCTTTTTCTTAAAGATTTTCTTTGGTATGAATATAACCCAAAACTCAAAGTTAACATTGGAAGATAACAGGGATTTTTTTTTATTATTATTTAGAGAAAGCATTGACCAGAAAATAATCTGGGTAGGGTTTGGTTTTGGTTATTAAAGTATCAAGTAAAAGTACTTCAAAATTTGAAGCTTAGTTAGAGTAAACATTTTGGAAAAGACAGAAGTTATAGTTTAAGAGATAGGGACATTAAATCACTCTTGAAATCATTAAAATAGGCATCCTTCCTTAAAATTGGAATATTAATTCCTGCTCCATTCCCAGTCACAGAATAGTCTTAGGCTCAGATATAATTAATTACTTTGCTAAATTACTTTTGAAAATTATCCCAAACAATTTAAAGTATTGTCATTCATTGGAAAATTCACATTTTGTTCTTATCAAATTGAAAGCTTCAACAAAATGATTCTGTACTGAAAGTGCTCACTTGTCTCTGCCAAGAAATTGGGAAGATAGCTACCTGACCATCCAATTGGAAAAGATCCATGTGTGTGCCCATTCCAAAGATAGTTCACCCACTGGAATATGGAAGTTGTTGAACAATATCATTAATAGCACATGTAAGTAACATTTTTGCTGAAGATAATTCAAAATGGTTGCAGCAGTACATTGATAGGGAGTTGCCAGAAATTCAAGCCGGATTCAGAAGAGGACGTACAATGGAAGATACCATTGCTGACATCAGCTAGATCATGACTGAAAGCAGAGCATACTAGAAAAGTGTGCATATGTGCATTGACTATGCACAGGCATTTGACTGTGTGGATCACAAGGAACTATGAATAACATTGTGAAGAATGGATATTCCAAACACTTAATTGTGTGCTTGAGAGATCTATACATAGTCCAAGAGGTAGTTGTTGGACAGAACAAGGGGATACCCAATAGTTTTAAATCAGGAAAGGTGTGCATTGGGGTTATATCCTTACAAGACCAATGACTTTGCAAGACCAAACTTATTCAGTCTGAGCATATAATCTGAGAAGGTAGACTATATGAAGAACATAGCATCAGGATTGGAGGAAGACTCATTAACAAACTGCAATGTGCAGCTGACACAACCTTGCTTACTGGAAGTAAATTTTTTCTGGTGAAGATGAAAATACAGCCATCAGTGTGGATTTTACCTCAATGTAAAGAAAATGAAAATTCTTACAATAGGACCAATAAATAAATGGAGAAAGATTGAGCTTGTCAAGGACTTCATTTTGTTTGAATCCACAGTCATTCATGTAAGCAGCAGTCAGGAAATAAAACAACATATTGCATTGAGCAAATCTGCTGCAAAAGACTTACTAACATGCTAAAGAACAAAGATGTCACTATGAGAACTAAAGTATTCTCATTGTTTCATATGAATGTGAAAATTGGACAATGAATAAGAAAGACCTTAGAAAACCTGATGCATTTGAATTGTGGTGTTGGTGAAGACTATTGAAGACTGTTCTGGCCATGGACTGCCAGAATGACAAATCTGTTTTGGAAGAAGTACAGCCAGAATGTTGCTTAAAAGTGAAAATGGCAAGACTTCATAACTCATACTTGGCCATGTTATCAAGAGAGAACAGTTTCTGGAGAAGGACATGATGTTTAGTAAAGTAGAAGGTGAGTAAAAAAGAGAAAGGCACCCAAAGAGATGGACTGACACAGTGGCAGCAACAATGGGCTCAAATATAGCAAAACATATCAAGATGGTGCAGGAGCGGGCAGTGTTCTGTTATGTATAGGGTCACTATGAGTGGGACCACACCACACATCTGTCAGTTTGTCATATTTTGGCTTGTGTATTGCTGTGGTTCTGGAAGCTGTGCCACCAGTATATTAAGTACCAGTACGGTACACCCATGTGGACAGGTTTCAGCTGAGCTTCCAAACTTAAGACACAGTAGAAAGAAGGAAAGGTGGACTCCTTCTGAATGTTTACCCACTGAAAACCGTATGAATAACAGTGGAACACTGTCAGGATAGCACCAGAATACTGAATATTTAAGCATGATGAAGAGAAACAACAATATTGTCAGATAGAGTGCTGGAAAATGAGCCCCTCAGGTTGGAAGGCTGGAAGGCACTCAAAATACACCTGGGGAAGAGCTGCCTCCTCAAAGTAGAGTTGATTGTGTGAATGGAGTACAGCTTTTGGGACCTTCATTTGCTGATGGGGCATAACTCAAAATGAGTAGAGACAGCTGTAAACATCCATTCATAATCAGAACATGGAATGTATGAAGTATGAATCTAGGAAACTTGAAAGTTGTCAAAATGAAATGGAACACATAAAGATCAATAATACTCTAGGCATCAGTGAGCTGAAATGGGATGGTATTGGCCATTTTGAATCTGACAATCATATGCTTTACTATGTTGGCGATGAAAAATTAAAGAGAAATGTTGTTGCATTCATCATCTAAATGAACATTTCAAGATAGATCTTGAAGTATAATGCTGTCTGTGATATAATAGCCATACACCTACAAAAAAGACCAGTTGATAACACTATTCAAATTTATGCACTAACCACTAATGATGAAATTGAAGAATTCTGCCAACTTCTTGCATCTGAAATTTATCAAACATTCAATCAAAATGTATCAATAGTCACCTGGGAACCATCAAGGCAAGTGGTAGGGTCCCCTCACAGCAAACCCGTTTCTAAGACTAAGACTCGAGAATACACGAGCAGGCATGTGGTCTGGCTGGTGACCATATTGGTCACCGATAAGGGGAAATGGGGGAGAAACAGCAATGAAGTTGTGAGCTAAGTCCGACCATGTTCAATAGACTCCTGTCAACCTGGGTTGAGACCTGGTTGGTCAGCAGTATGGCAAGACCCAGGGACTCCTGGGCCCAGAGACAGTGACATGGTCACAGAGGACAAGAGTGGAGAGTGAAGCTTCCAGCTGATATGAAGTGAGGGGAGATGCACAAGAACACCCACACTTGCAAATAGTACCCACTTGACCAGGCTTCAATGGCTGGATGATCAGAATTCAACTAGAAGAAACAAGGTGGGGAAAGTAATCCACTACAATTTGATGAACTTTACCTATACTTATGGATGTAGTAGCTCAAAAGAGGGAACAAAAAGAGGATCATTCCCAACTCCTCAGTACACAGGGTTGACAGGGATGGGCAACTTGGACATTGGCTACCCAAAATGGGGGGACTACAAAGGCAAGAAGTGACTGGCTTACAATCTTTCAAGAGGGAGCCTAGTTCCAGAGGGCACAGGGGAAGGTAGAATCTCTACGGAGTGGTTTCCAATCTGTTGGGATGGGAATGATGAAAGGAGACGTGATAAGAATCTTGTGGTACAATAGTGAATAATTGCTATCAGGACTGACTGTGATGGTTGGAAATGCAAAGGTAGATGTTTTGTAACAAAAGGAGGAGAGTAGTTGATTTTGCAGTCCAGGAGCGGCAGTCCCTGGGACCATCAAGTGAGAAGAGCAGAGTGTGGGGACCCTATCCAGAGAAGCAGTGACACCAGAGATGGAGGTAGAGACGATGACATGGAGAGATGGAGCAGCTGGAAACTCTGGACTCAGGGAGGGAGAGGGACTGCATGCTGACAGCTGGGGGGCAGGTTTGTGCGGTGTACCCTTTGGTTGTTTGATGATGCATGGAGGGGATTGTAATCCTTGCAATGAAACGAAATAACGCTAGAATGAGTGTAAAGCTGTTGTTCTCCCCCCATGTAAACTATCACATAATTCACAATTAAAACTTTAAAAAAATTTATCGATAGTTACTGGTGATTGGAATGCAAAGGCTGGAGACAAAGAGGATGGAACAATACTTGGGAACTATGGTCTTGGTGACAGAAGCGATGCTGGAGATTAAATGATAGAAATGATGATTTGTGGTTACAAATCAGGCTGTGAGCCTCAAGGTCAGCAGTTCGAAACTAACAGCTATTTCGCGGGAGAAAGATGAGGCTTTCTGCTCCCGGAAAAATGTAGTCTCAGAAACCCTATGCAGGGTCGCTATGAGTCGGAACCGACTCCACGGCACATAACCACAATACCAATGACTTGTTCATAACAAATACCTTTTTAAAACAATATTAAAGAAGATTATACACATGGACCTCACCAGATGGAAAACACAGAAATCAAATTGACTACATCTGCCAAGTTGTAATCAACTGTGTAGATTACATCTGTGGGAAGAAATGGTTAAAAAAAAAAAAAAAAAAAAGCTTCATATCAGCCAAAACAAGACCAAGGGCAGACTGTGTAGCAGACCATCAATTGCTCAAATGCAAGTTCAGGCTGAGGCTGAAGAAAATTCAAAACAAGTACTCGAGAGCCAAATTTGCCCTGAAACATATCACGCCTGAATTTAGAAATCATCTCAAGAACAGATTTGATGCATTCGACACTAATGACCAAACACCAGAGGAGTTGTGGGATAGCATCAAGAACATCAGACAGGCAGACAGCAAAAGGTCGTTAAGAAGTCAAGAAAGAAGAAAAAGACCTAAACAGATGTCAGAAGAGACTCTGAAACTTGCTGCCCCCCAAGTTTCAGAAACAAGCAACTGGAAGAAACAAGGCAGTAAAACAATTGAATTGAAAATTTCAAAAGGCAGCTGAAAAAGACAGTCTACTATTACAATGAAATATGTAATGACCTGGAGTTTGAAAACCAAAAGGGAAGAACACGCTAAGCATTTTTCAAGTTGAAAAAAACTAAAGAAAAAATCAAGCCTCAACTTACAATAATGAAAGATTCTATGGGCAGAATATTAAAATGATGCAGATAGCATCAAAGGATGATGGAAAAAATACACAGAATCACTGTACCAAAAAGAAATGGATGATGTTCAACCATTTCAAGAGATAGACTATGATCAAGAGCCAATGGTACTAAAGGAAGAAGCCCAAGGTACACAGA